TAAACACGGGGAGCCCCTTTGAAATGAATACTGTATGAAAAGCAGGGAGTTGATAAAGGAGTAAAGTTACAGAATGGGAAAGCTCAGAATTTCAGGCTTCTGCCACTCTGAGGTGCAGGTTGCTGTTTTGTTGGCCCACATTTGAAACAGGACAGTTCCCTACTGTTTTCCTAGGACAGCACCAGTCAGGAGGGGTTCTGCTCAGCAGTAACTTGAACTCTTCACTGGGATGTGGCGTGCACACACACAGACATACACAAACACACACACACAATTTCATTTACCGCGTTTGCACTGGCTAAAATAGACCTGTTTACATATTTATGCTTCGTGCACAAATAAACTTGATCTTTAAAGTGCCGCTTGCAGTTCCGATAACCTTTCTGGGTTGGTGCATGCTTGGGTTCTCTCCAAGCATGCGCTGTAGATCTCCCGGTGCACAACACCAAGCCCCTCAATCCCACTCTCCTGGCATGCACAGCTTTAGCTCCAGATTTGACTCTTAACTCAGAGGAGCTGGGGCTGTTAAGAAACGTGCTTTTCCCCAAAAGTATTTGAAGAGCTGGAAAAAAAAATCATTCCTTTTTCCTTGAATATTTTTGGGAAATGGAAGAAACTATGGAAGGGCCTGTCACTCAGGAAGAAAAAAAATTCAGTAATTAGTATCCCTTAAGGAGCCCCCGGCTCCTCTGGTAAAGTGATCTCAAAACAAATTTGCAAAAATGCAGTAGGCGAGTGGAACTAAAGAAAGGGGGGAGAAAACACGCACTGCAAGGCCGGCTAATGAGGCTGCTGGCGAAGGGCGGGGTGGGGGAAGGGGGAGGATGGTGCTGCATTTCAGGAGGCTCAAGTCTGGAAAGCGGGAGCAGCCTTAGCATCAGACACTGTCTGCTCCTATGGACTGGTAGAGAGAAAGTGGTGAACGTGTCAGGATCCCTTTAAATGGTGTTCCTCACCCCAGCCGTCCCCACTCCTCAGGAATCGCCGTGCCGCACCAATTCCTGGAGGGATTCCATCCAATGTGGGCGCCTTCTGCAGAGCGTGCCATCTTTTCCCAAGTCCCACACCTTTCTATTTAAGAGAAGAAAATCCTACCGAAACCATAAGTCACGGGACTGAGGGGGTGAGAGGTGTTTGCGGTCCCCCCGAGCGCACCCCCAGCCCTGGCATTCCGAGCGCCTTTGCGCTGTGCCCAGCGGGCCCGTGCAGGGCGGCGAGAGCCCGTAACTTCATGGTGCCGAGCCGGCCGCGGGCGCTGGCAGTGGCAGCGAGCGGGCAGGGGCATCTCCTCCGCGATGCCCCGACCACAAAATCGTTTCCCAGTCGGGCTGGCGGGGCCGGGCGCTTCCAGCCGTGTGAGAAACGTTTGGTTCCCCCCAGCGCTGGGAACCGTGCGCACCTAAGTAAACACATTAGTACCTGCCAGAGGGAGTTGTATAGAGGACAGCTGAAGAAGGCATTGGCCTCTGATGGCTCCCCGGGACTCCCAGGAGAGATCAAAGGGACACGAGGGGGTTTTAGCAGCCTTGAGACTGGGAAAAGTTGCTAGTTCCTGCTATCGGAGGGGCGTCCCAGCGAGCACATGGTTCAATTATTCAGCCTCCTCCCTCCCTGCCCCCTACACCCATCCCTAGCTCATTCTCCACAGAAAGACGGAAACTGCGGAAAAGTCGTGCGGGGTCCACAAAGCAGCAGTGGTCCACGCAGGAATTTTCCCGTGGAAATAGTTGTTGTGTCGCCTCTTGACCGCCTTGACTCCGAGTTCAGAGAAGGAACTAAGCCTGCTGCTGGCTGTCCGCTTCCCTCCCTGGATTGCGGGCGGTTTCACCGAGGAAAATAAAGATGCACAATATAAAAGCCAAAACCAACCGACCAAAAAAAACCCCAACGAAACAAAAAAACCCAAAAAAACCCAAAAAACACACAAAAAACCCCAAAACAAACAAAAAAACCCCCAAAAATACAAAACCAAAACCCTGAAAACAAGGCTTTAAACCCTCGGTCGCGTCACTTCAGAGGAAAGCAGTGTCAACACGGCAGCCCTGCAGACAGGCACCCCATTCTCCCCTTCCCCCGCCTTCCTCCCATCGTTCCCGGCCCCGCAGGCACCTCGGGCCGGGCACCCCACACCGCGGGCCGGCGGAGCCCCGCATCCCGCCGCTCCTGAGGGAGCGAGCAGGTGTTTGCTTCCCAGGGGAGCGGAGCAGGTAGAGGCGAGGGAGGCTGTGTTGAACATGGGATTTCCAGCCCGCAGAGGGGAGGAGGGAGCGGCAGGGGCACTTGCATTTGCGTAAAAACTTCGATGACTTTGTGCGTGGTCCCTCCGGAAAAAGATTTCATTAAATCACAAACCTCTTGTCTGTACCCAGTTATTGCCCTTTGATTTTGTGATTCCAGGGCCCTGTTTGCTTTGGCTGGGGACTTAAGTAAAGATTATCGTTATTAATATCTAACACAAACATTTTAATTGCAAACACACTGACGACCTTCACTGGGAAGCCCTGCATGTCAGCTGCAGCCGCGGGGGTCACGGAGAGTCTCTTCGGGAGGTATTTTCTTTATTTAACGAAAAAACTCTCCTTTAGGCAAACTTACTCCAAACAATCGCTCAAGTTACCCCGCTGCTGGAGGAGCCGCTGCCGTGGGGGTCCTGCCGGGCGGACGGGCGGCTTGTTGGGGTCATTGCCCGGCTGCGGGTAAACCTGGCTAGTCGCTGCCCCGGTGTGGGCGCGACACTGTGCCTTGAGGAGCGGCTCAGCACAGCTCCTGCCCTGATGCGGGCAGCGGGTCCGCGGGGCTCGGATCGCCGTGTGAACTGTGTGTAGCCCTTCCCGCGGACTCGGCGGCCTTGAAACAAATTAGGAGGGAAGTCGACGAGCTGCTAGCCCGATCTGAAATACTGTCTTACTGGGCAAGTGCCTTCGCCATAGAAGCGAGCTGCAGCGTCTCCTCCCCCATGCCAGGTCGCAGAGGTGGCACGCAGGGCCCTGCGCTCCCCGACGCGCCGCTTTCTGAAGAGCCCGAGGGTTCCCCGAGGCAACGGGGTTTAATTTGAAAGGAGGAAAAAAAATGGGGAAAGTGTTGCATCACTGTGCCCACCACACTGTCTTGTCCCGCCGCAATTAGTCCTTGCTAAGGAGTATCTCGTTAGAGAGCAACTGGGGGTAGTACATGACGGGTTTAGAGACCCGGCTGGCCACGGCGGCGCAGAGAGGGGGGTAGGAAGGTACGGCCGGTTGGAGTGCCAGCTCTCGGGCAGGCTCTACCCAGAGCTTCCACTTCAGACCGATGTACCCGTGCCCCAGATGGCCAGGAAGGGGGAGATCTTCCCGAAACGCGACTGTGACCTTTCAAAAAACAGAAACAAAGAATAAATCAAGGGCTAAAGTTGGCGAGGAGACCGCACGCGGGTAAAGTTGAAGTGTCCTCCTGTTTACTTGCGCAGGCTGTCCGGCGAGCCCTGTGTGTGTGCCAGGGGCAGAATGCGCTGATCCCTGGTGGTCGCCCCTTACCGGGGGTACAACCTTTTACAAACCGTAACGCTCTGACTGTGAGCAGCTCCGTTTCACCATCCTCAGAGAGGCTGTGTTTTTTTACATCACTGAGTGAAAGGCTTCATATGCTGTTACCCCCCCACCCCCAAACCCTTTCGGTCGCTTAACTCTTTCCTCCCTGAAGGACCCCATTCCCTTCTCCCTCAGGCTCAAGGAAGTCAAGGGGAGTTACCTTTCCTGGGAAGAAACTACAGCTCCCTCCAGCCCCAGAGGGAGCGGGCTCCTGTCACAGCCAGTTGCTGCCCCATTAGTGCAGCAGGCCCGTCAATTTTGCCGCAGAGAAGCCCTGCGTTCAAGTCCTCGGTGCCGAGAGGAGAAGGTGAGACACACTGAGCCTCTCCCAGCTCCAAGACCGGGGCAGGAGGTCGGGGGGGAGTGAGTGGGGAGGACGACGGGCGGGGGTATCTTCTTTCATGCCCCTTTTCTAACCTCACCTTCCACGTGCAGGGCAAGGCCAGCGAAGCATCTTTGCCTGGCAAGGTACTCGAGCGGCACTGCTGGGCATTTTAGGGGAGCAATATCGCTTTCCAGGGGAACGTGCATTCCGCGAGCACGGCGGGGAACGGGGCCGCGGAGCGCTGCGGGCGGCCGGAGAGGCGGCGGGTCCTGTCCGTGCACCCACCCGTGCCCGCCCGGCTTCCCCGGGAGCCCACGGAGACACGGGTGATTCACACCGCGGCTGCGGCCCTAAAGGAGTAAACGAAAGAAAAATCTGTCCCGTGTCCTTCCTCCAGTCACACGGGTCGTGCTTCTGCTACACGGGTCTGACTCTTCAGGCCTTCATTCACTGAAGTCAGTGCAGGTTTGAACTCCGGGATCGGATTTTTTTTTAAGATTAAGATTAAGATTATTATTAAGATTAAAATTTAAGATTTTTTTTTAATATTTAAATTAAGAGGACCGGAAGAAAGCACTGTAACACAAAGAGCTTTATTTTACAGTCCAAGAAATCCATCTGTTCTTATATACAATATCACATTCCACCATTTAAATATATATGTCCTGTTTACAAAAGAAAAGACAGTACTGAAATTATTTACAAGAACGAAATGAGGCGGGGACTTTTTAAATATGACTCACACGCAATGCAACCAAGAGCTTCACTCAGACAGGAATGAACTTCCCGGTGAGTCTCAGACAAAGCGGATCACCGGTACACAGGTAAGTATCTTAAAATTAAAAATAAAATAAAAAAAAAGGAGGGTGGTTTATGCAACACAATTTAAAGAAAACAAAACTCGGGTTAAAAAAAAAGGCAAGAGAGAAGTCTGTCTGTCTCGAGTCAGTGGTGGGGAGCCATTTTCTTTGGGGTAGGTGTACCTTGATTCGATTTTAAAAAGGGCCCTGCTTGGGCTTTCCACTGTGTGAATTTGCTTCGTTACTTAGTTTAGGAGGAGAGAGGGTGGAGGCTCCATCTCCGGTAAATATACTACCACAAAACCCGGTTTATTTCTCCACCGCTTCCTCCGCGCTGGGCAGTTTGGGATCGTCGGAAGAAATACTGTCCACTATTGAGGAGAGGCAGCGAAGGCTGCTGGAGGCCGACGACTCGACAGCGGAGACCCCTGCTCAAGGAGAGAAAAGGCATTAAAGAGCAGACCGCTCCTCCCGCCGGGGGCTGCCGGAGAGCCCGGGCACAGGAGGGAGCGTGGGAGCGGGACCGCTGGGATCGCGGCCGTCGGGGCTCGGCAAGGGGGCTCGGGAATCGGGCCCGGGGGGCGAGTTACCTTCTTTGGGGCTGACTCCTAGGGCTCGGGAATGGTCAGAAACGCTTTGCCAGTCGGAGCTGCAGGTGTTCAGGAAGTCCGAACTGGGGATCTGCGGCACACAGGCGGGAGCGGGGAGACACGGGGAGAAGAGAGGACGGGTGTTAGTGGGGCTGCCGCGGCTCCCCGGGCCACGGGGCTGGCAGGTTCCCCGAGGAGAGCCCGCCAGCCCTCCCGGCCCGCAGCGGCCCTGCCGAGGAGGAGGAGGAGGAGGAGGAGGGAGGGGACGGGCGCGGCGGCGCTGCCGTGGCGGCGGAGGGGCCAAGCGGCAGTGCTTACATTTCCCTGCTTGGGGCTGAAGCTGAAGGGGTCTCCCCCGATCTCCTGCATTTTCTCCTGCTGATCCAGCCTGTGCAAGAGGTCCTGCAGCCTCTCGATGTAGCTGATGGCGCTCCTCAGTATCTCCACCTTGGGCAGCCTCTGGTTGGGGTTGGCCACAGTCCGCCTTTTCAGAGCCTCGAAGGCTTCGTTGATCTTCTTCAGCCTTCTCCTCTCCCGCAGGGTGGCTGCCTTCCGTCTGTCCGTGGGGGCCGACTTTCTCTTGCAAGTTTTACAAGCCCAGATCAAACACTGGCCGGGGAAGTGAGGGGGTTGTAGTCCCGGGGGTGCCAGCACATGCTCCTCTCCGCTGCTGTCACTGCCGGCCTCCGGCTGCATTTGGTCCTGACATGGAGACAAGGTGCCATCGCTGCCTGGGTACAGCGGGGATCCCTCAGCCATCTCCAGCTGCTGCAGGGCTCCATTCTCCCCATCCAAGTAGAAGAAATAGGAGCCAGTTTCAAAAAGGTCCATCATGCTGTCCCTGGGCCTCTCTGCCTGCTTGAGTTGGGTGGCAATCTCAAAAACACCCCGAGGAACAACCCAGATGGAATTTAATTAGTGCAGTGACATAAGTCCCCCCTGCTTTATATAGGAGCTGCTGAAACCCTATCCAACTTTTAGCTGTCGCGGTGTATCACCCTCCAAAACTGATTCCAGTCAGTCTCCTGGGCGCTGTCCTGAGAACATCTCCTATTTAGATGGGGGAGGGGGGACACGAGAGGTGGGAGACAAATTAGAAAAAAAAATTAAAACAAACAAAGGAAAACCAAAACAAAACAACCCCAAAAACAAGCGGAAAAAAAGTACAACCCGACTTTGCACCCTGCCCCGAAGTGCCGTAGTGCCGTGAGCTCGGGAGCAGCGTCTCGGGGCGGCCCCGGCCCCGCTGCCGAGCCCCCGGGGGCCCGGCTGGAGGACAAAGGCGCAGGGAGCCCTTCCCCAGCCCACCCCTCACACCCCCGGAGCACGCTCCCTGCCCGGGGCTGAGTACAGAGAGAGTATAAGGAGAGATTTCAAAGGCAACCATCACTTTCCCAATAGACGGGTTAATATTTTCACTAGAAGCCCCTGCTATTTCCACCCCCCGCCACCTTCCCCTTGCGTGCCATTCCTGTGACCCAAGGCACCCGGGCCAGCCCAAGGTTAGGAGCCAAGCTCGCTGCTCCCCTGCACACACGGGGAAGGCTGCCAAGGCAGAGCTGTGCTGCAATGATGAGGCACTCACAGATAGTGCCCCTCGGCTTAGCCTGTCAGTGTGAACTTTCCCACGTTGCCCATGAGGTGACAGGAGTGATTCCAGGTGACTGGGTTACAGTGTGATGGGGCTGGCTGCACAGCCCTTGTCCTTGACGCTGCTTAGGGCAAGCAAAGCCCGGGCATATGGTGTAATTGAAGTTTAATCCCTTGGGGCTGGCAGGGTATAGAGAGCTTCCCAGACACAGAGACGGAAATGGAGCTTGTGACCACTCTCTGTTAGCTTATACTGTAATGTCACATCATATCTGGAGCTGTCACACATAAAGAAAGAGAATTGGGAAAATGGCCTCTGCCTCTTTTCCTGCAGTGTTTGCCTCTTTTCCTGCCTTGTGTCCTTTAAATACCATGTAAGGTCTTTATGTTTATGTAAATAGACATAGATGCATATGCATATGTGCCTGTATCTATATGCCCACACACATGCACATGTACATTTATGTGCATAAGTAAGTATATTCCTGTGTGTTTGTGTATATACATGTGCGTAAGCTTTTCATAGAAACAATAGTACATGAAGATGAAGCACCTGCAATGGTCTGATAACTCTCAAATGTAACTCCAAACTTCAGCTTTCTGAAGGCAAGTGTGGTGGTATTGTTTATTTCTCTAAAGCTACAATGAAATTAATCATTGACTCGACTGTTTCTCCAAAACTGCAAACCAATTTTTTGGAGTACAAAAATCTTTAACACTAAGAGTAGTTGTGGTTTTGTTTTCACCACATCAGTGTTGTTGGAGTGGATCTCATTTCTTCTTTAATGAGGCAGAACAATATCCAGTTTTGGATGAGACAGAGAAATTCAGACTGTTCTCAGAGAAACTAATTTTGATACTATTCCATCACTGAGGCTTTTTCCCTCTTCAGATTAAAGAAAAGGCAGTCTGGCAGTTAAGGTACTGAATATAAGAAACTGTTTCTCAGCTTCCATGTTCTGCAACTTGCTTTCTGTTTGACCTTTGACCAGTCACTTACTTTTCCTGTGATTTAATTTTCCACCTTTAAAGAGGGATGTAATGTTGACCTTTACCCATCCGTTGTGTCTCTGATTTAATTTGCTGACTATCCATGGAAAAGCTACTCCTTTACATGCTTTCAGGTATTTCAGGGGTCTTTGTCCCATAGCATTAATAATAGTAGTAATAAAAAAACCCAAAGCAGCAAAAACAAAAACCAACCAAACACAAACAACCACCCCCCCAAAAAAAAACCCAAAAAACCCCAAACTCCACAAACCAAAAGTGCATAGTTTAATTTTTTTTTTTTCACATTTACTACATTCATTTTTTTTTTTCCTTTTAATCTTTTGTTTCTTCAGTACTACCCTGGGAATGTTTGGAACAAGACAGACAAGATCAGTCTACTGGTAAGGTGCACAAATGAAAATTTAGTTTAAGGGAGAAAGATAAATACCAAATTGTTGTTGTCCTTTCAAGAGCTTTAAGTGAACTCAGCAAGTTGGGAAACTGTAAGTTTAGGAGCCAGATGCTCCTGCTGCTTTCAACAGATTTCTTTTTTTTAAACAGGAAACAAAATATGTTCTTTCTTCCCAGCACTTAGTGACAGAGTAAACAGATTCAGTTCCTCACAGTGATGTGGGCTCAACATAATTAGTCCTTTGTAGTAATAACTGATAGGAGAAAAGCTCCTAACAATTGTAAATAAATTTTCATTTGAATGAAAATGGTCAGATTCCCCATCATATAGGAAACTTGAATTTTGCTGCATCTCCCACTGCACCTCCTTGGTTTATGTAACACAGCCAGCAAACAGCCCTAGCACATATGAATAAAATGTCCTCAGAGATGTTCTCCATTACAAAACTGAATCAAGTGGAGGATTCAAAGTTGGTATGGGCCTTTTTTCTCTTCATGCTTTTTATTCTTTATCATGTTAGATATAAGCACAGAGACATAAGAGGAAATAAAAGCATGTGAATAAGAACAACTGGACATAGAATTGAAAGGAGGATCACTAATGAAGACTGCTGTAATTTCAGTTGGCTTGGTAGTACCTTACAGAAAAACTTACTCTGAAGCCAGTTCTTTATTCAATTATTCATGCCTCTGTGCATGTAGCTCTACTGAAAATATACTTTCAAGATATTTATACAAGTAAAACTCTGGTGTGTTGTATTTGGTCTACAAGGTCTATCATCTTTGCCAAAGAAGTATTTCAGAAAGTCAGTGAGTTGTAAATTCAATGAGTGATCAGGATGACCAAACACGAGACAGCTGCACTGCATTTTAAGTCACATCTGGCCTCCAGGAGTTAGATCCCTCCAAATTCAATTTGCCACATACGATTTTTCTGGATAATTGTGGTTGATTAATAAGCCTGTAACTGCCCTGGTCACTTGTTACACCTTAAGGTTTCAGCAGAAATTTAGTCCAGAACTATTAAGAAATATTTTGACAGCTAGGACTTACTTAACACTTTATACCATTCCAAATATCTCCTTTTTCTCCTTCACTGTTCTCAAGATTCTTCCAGCCAGAGGCACAGTGCATTTTAAATCTTTGATCTCTTTGACACCTCATTGCAGTGGCACTGGTAATCAGTGAGGATCCATCCTATCCATTCCTGTGTGTCACTGGGAAAGGGCACCTGGGTGAAGGTGGAATTTTCAAGCCTGCTTATAGCCCTGTTCTACTCATACCTCAAATACTTGATTTGAGAGATAGCTAGATACTTTGGCTACCAGGCTAATGATTCTTAAATTGCTTCTTGTAGTGCAGGTTACCAGTGTAGGTCCAGCTGTGGGCATACTGGGCCTCTCAGAATTTTTCTGTACTTTTGAAATGGAAATCTTTCTATTCACACTCCTCCTCTTCCTTTTACACTCGTGCTCAGGAGCATCCTCCTTAGCAGAAACTTTCAGTATTTTATTGTTAATACAAGATGTTGTTTTTCTGCCTTTGCCTTTTGAAACAGTTTATATTTTTCTAAATGTGTTTTTGAAACCCTTCTAACATTTGACTTTATATCTTCTACTGATTGCTATTTCCATCTTTTTTCTTTTCTCCACAGGAAAAATAACACTTTTAAAATTGTGGCATTTCTCATCTAATTTCTCAACTGAAAAAAAAAATGCTCTCCTCATTACTGTCTCCAGACAACCACTTAGAGTACTGAAAACCTCTTTGCTACTGAAAACCTCTAGGCTATTGCTCTTTTTGTGTCCTCTGTCAATTCCAGTTCACACAGGCTTTCTCACCAGAGTCTGGTAGGTTGTTCAGGTAAGGGTAGATGGTGTGTCTAGAAATATGTGTTACTGCCCATGTTTTGTTGTCACTTGCAACCTGTGTAGTGACATAGTCAGGACACCAGTCTGAGCTGTTAACAGGGTTAATTGTCTGTCATTTCTCATGATGTGTTGGTAGGTACACCCAGATAGTCACCCAGGATATGTTTACATTCTCATTTCACTTTGTCAGGAATGCCTTTGTCAAGGAAATCTCTGACTAGCCCTGACTTACTGCACTTTCCATTCTCCTAACGGTGCTCTCAAGGGTGTGTCACCTGGGTTCTGTTCTTGAGAAACTAAGCTGGAAGGCACCCTGAAATGTTAAGGGGATGCTGGGTGTTCAGCACTGCCAGGTTAGACAGATCTGTACCTGGCTCTCCTATGTGATCTGCTGACATCTGTAGTCACAGTTCTTAGGGAACAACTAGAGAACTGTGATTTGCTGCTGAAATAGAATATTATGCCAAGGATTGTAAATTGAGGATTAGAAACTTCATCCCTCCCTTCCCTTCAGAAGGATATTTTAAGCATCTGCTTTGTAGGATGTTTGAAATGGCTGACAAATGTGTAAGGGGAGAGTTGGCACACCAAAGACTGGTAGTGTGTTAAAAAGCATGTATCTATTCCTGAATCTACAAAATATTACAGAAATGTTTGGTAAATAGAGATTATAGCTTTTCCACGAGTGTTCTTCAAAGTGTGGGCAGTGGAGGCTCTACAAGGGACCAGCATTTTTTATGCTGACAATGACCCATGGGAAATTTAAGTAAAAAGAACCTTTCTGACATTCCAGAAGTAATAATAGCAGTAATAATTCCTGCTGCTGGAACAAAGCATATCAAGCTTCATGGCTTGTAGTATGTAGTAGCACTTAGCTGAATTTCATTTTCTCTTCTTGCCTGAAAATGAATTTCACAGAGGTCTGTAGGAATAATGCAGCCCAGCTTTAATTTATTTTAATTTATATATGTT